GCCCAGCATAAGGCCTGAAGGCATCTGGGGTCTGAAGCGATACACCAGGAGGGTTGGAGAGCTCTTCAAAGAGGGACTTTGCTGTTTATTGGCTTGTACGTAGTTGCTAAGAAGTTTGTCCTCAGTTACAGTTCCCTTGCGAATCCCATACACCCCTCAACCCCGTCCAAGTTCAATACCCCTTAATAAAACATAAAACCAAGCTCAAAAACCATTTACTGTCTCCTGTGTGAAAGGTCTGAAAAAAAATGTTGTGCCGTACTGTGCAGGACTATAGGGGGACCCAAAACTCTGCAACTCCTAAGGGGGTAGTGCTACACAGGATCCCTTTGATGTGCAAAAATGAACATGGGCAAAGCACGGGTTCATTTTAACATAAACTATCTCAGAAGAAAATGTCTTGCAGTTTTCCAATGGAAGCTGAAAAAAGTTGAACCATTTCAGCTACACTGCTAATGGCGTTGCTTCCCTGAATTTAGTGTGTGGTCTGAGAATGACTGCTCTCACTAGAGTAAGGGTTGTCAACTTATGAGGTATGAGGGGACCTCAACTGTGGCCCCGTATCATTACCAAAGGGCCACATAATACCCAGTACATGAAATGCTACAGAGACTGTCTTCTGTGGACATACATAGAAACTAAAACTGTCAGAAACTGTTACTATGCTACAGGACTGGTTGGAGACTGAAGAACACCTGTAGAACAAAGACATAAACTGGAGACATGTTACAAGAGACTGCTAGAGATAAAGGACATTGCAATTCCTTTACAAACCAGTGTTTCTAGTGCTGAGAATTGTGGGGGCCACCCAACAAGTGCCAAAAGGCACCACGTGGCCCTAGGGCTCCCAAGACTGCTGTTTTATAATGGGAAACTAAAGTCTAAAACCCAACAGCTGTAACACTATTTTGAGGTAGAGGTACATTGTATAACACAGCATTAACAAGGTGAAATGTATTTTTTATGATCATTGCTACCTAGAAAAAAGAAGAAAAAAACAATTTAAAGTGTATCTAAAGCCCAAACTTTTCTTTTTAGGCCAGACTGGTCAAGGGATAACAACCGTGTCAAAGGTTTCATTGAGAGGACATGTTTAAAGTGCATACCAGCCTACTTGCATGATAAATGATAAAAGTGACACTAGAGTAAAAGCACTGTGCTGCCACAAACGAGTTTCCATGTTTTTTTGTATATTGCTGTTATTAGTCAAAGGTTTATCTTGGTTTAGTCTGGGATAGAGCTCAGATAACCCATTAAAAAGCATCAGTTTTTTTGTATTCTGTAAAATATTTATTGCTGTCTTTGCCTCTACTGGGGAGAATGACCCTCTGGTCACCATTATCCCTAATTTCTGACTGTAAGGGAAAATCCAAAGTTTGAAGTTTCAGCAGAATAGAAATGGAGGAGAATTTTTCCAAAAAAGAGACACTTCTCGCTGTGAAAACTAAGAAAGCATTCACTTCACTTTAGAGAGATTTCCTATTGCTTCCTGTTGTGTCTTCAGGTCAGGAAGTGAAGCGAAATCTCCTCATTGGGATATAGACACAAAAAAAAACCCTTTTTAAAAGTGGGGAAAAAAAATTCCACTCTCCCGGACACTCTCCCTCTGAGGTACTCACACTCAGAGGCATATCTTCCTAACAGGAGAGCTCAGTTCTTACGATTCTCTGTAAAAAGAATTTACCCTTCCTAACAAGTATTTTTTCAGATACCTACAATTACGGCATGCCATTAGGGCACAATTTTCTCAAGCACCAATCCTCTAACCGAATTTAGAATCTCTTCTAAAGGCTTTCAATTTTGACAAGTCCCCAATTTATGCCTTCCCCATAACTCCTCACATGGATAGGGCTTCTCTATAGTTCTAGAAGTGGAAAACTGATATCCCCATCCTCTCTGAAGAGAAGTGAGAAGATGGGGTAGCACAATATACTAAACTGATGATATCTGCTAGGAATAAATGTATCCAATTGAAATTTTACATAAGATATAATATACCCCTCAGAGGTTGCAACATATCCATCCCATCCTTTCTTCACTCTGAAAGTGTTTGAATGCCACTGGCACTTTGTATTATATGGTGTGCAGCTGACCTTTGATTTTCGATTATTGAAAGCATGTCACATCCCAGTTGGCTAAGCCCCTGAAAATATTGCTGGCTCTGGATGTCATTGTTTTGTTGTTAGACATCTATGATTCCCTCAATATAGCAAATATATTTCTATAGTAGAAATAGTATGATGATGTAGTCAGGGACTCTCCTTTAGTACACAATGTCAACTTAAATCCTGAATACGTAATGGCAAAATGTTTTTTTCACATACCTAAATCTACAAGCAGTGTATGTAGTTTGCTAATTCTACTGGCAGCTAAATTACAGATTAGATGTATCAGTTAACAAAGAAATGTCCAGTACTTTGTGGCTATTAGAGGTTCTGTATGACACCATTCCGTGCATCTTTTTATCCCTCATACAATCCATTCATGATTTGGATGGCCTTTTTTTAACTTTCTAAAAGTGTTCTTGAGCAATCAGATTTATTTAAATAGTTAAAGAGTATGACAGCAGAACTAAATTTTATTTCAGGGGCTTATTATACCCCACAATACTAGCCTCTAGTTCCCAAGGGTAGGAGCACTGAGTCACAGATGCAAACTTGAAATAGGTTCTTTCATTTATGTAGCATGGGCCTGTCTTTAAATCCAGAACCTCTGACAGAAGCCTGTAAGTACCATCGACACTCTGGGTATGACACTAGGAATGGACTCATGATCCTAGGAATAGTTGATAGCATTAACACTATTCATTATTAAAAACTAATATTCTTTTATGCTTCATTTTATACAAAGCCAGGGATCCTCCTTAGATGAAAGTTGCCCACCTCATTCACTATGGACATGTGGCAATCTCCCATTAACAAAGTCTTATCTTTATACAAACATACTTACCCGGGAAGGGACTATCCTAGAGAAAATGGCATGGGGCTGATATTATAAGTGTTTGACCGATTATCCTACTCTGCCTTGAAGAGCACCTTCCAGGAGCAACATAGAAGCAGATGACTGCACTTTACCCTCTGCAGTATATGTACCTTCATGGATGACCCTAACTCTTATAGTTTCCACCCGATCTTTCTTGCCATTCCCGATCAGACAACTAGCTAGATTTTCTACATCATAACATCCCTAAGAGGATGTGGAATGGCTGGTCAGGCCTCATCATCAGCATATGATGCACAGCTAATAAATGTTGTTGCTTATCAGGTCTTGTATAATACTTTTTTTTTGTACTCTGTTAACCTCTATCTAGACGTATGACATACCATATAACGTACAGTGGATATAAAAAGTCTACACACCCCTGTTAAAATGTCAGGTTTCTGTGAGGTAAAAAAAATTAGACAAAGATAAATCATTTCAGAACTTTTTCCACCTTTAATGTGACCTATAAACTGTACAACTCAATTGAAAAACAAACTGAAATCTTTTAGGGGGAGAAGTAAACATAAAAAACTAAAATAATGTTGATGCATAAGTGAGCACACCCACTTATAACTGGGAATGTAGCTGTGTTCAGAATTAAGCAATCACATTCACAATCATGTTAAATAGGAGTCAGTACACACCTGTCATCATTTAAAGTGCCTCTGATTAACCCAAAATAAAGTTCAGCTTTTCTAGTAGGTCTTTTCTGACATTTTCTTAGTCGCCTCCTACAGCCAAAAGCCATAGTCCGCAGAGAGCTTCCAAAGCATCAGAGGGATCTCATTGTTAAAAGGTATCATTCAGGAGAAGGGTACAAAAGAATTTCCAAGGCATTAGATATACCATGGAACACAGTGAAGACAGTCATCATCAAGTGGACAAAATATGGAGTTACATTACCAAGAACTGGATGTCCCTCCAAAATTGATTAAAAGATGAGAAGAAAACTGGTCTGGGAGGCTGCCAAGAGGCCTACAGCAACATTAAAGGAGCAGCAGGAATACTGTATCTGGCAAGTACTGGCTGTGTGGTACATGTGATATCAATCTCCCATATTCTTCATATGTCTGGGCTATGGAGTAGAGTGGCAAGACAAAAGCCTTTTCTTATGAAGAAAAACATCCAAGCCCGGATAAATTTTGCAAAAACACATCTGAAGTCTCCCAAAAGAATGTGGGAAAATGTGTTATGATCTGATGAAAACAAGGTTAAACTTTTTGGCCATAATTCCGAATGATATATTTGGCACAAAAACAACACTGCACATCACCAGAAGAACACCAGAAGAACACCATACCCACAGTGAAGCATGGTGGTGGCAGGATCATGCTTTGGGGATGTTTTTCTTTAGCTGGAACTGGGGCATTAGTCAAGGTAGAGGGAATTATGAACAGTTCCAAATACCAGTCAATATTGGCACAAAACCTTCAGGCTTCTGCTAGAAAGCTGAACAAGAAGAGGGACTTCATCTTTCAGCATGACAACCACCCAAAGCATACATCCAAATCAACAAAGGAATGGCTTCAACAGAAGATTAAAGTTTCGGAATGGCCCAGTCAGAGCCCAGACCTGAATCCGATCAAAATCTGTGGGGAGATCTGAAGAGGGCTGTGCACAGGAGATGCCCTCGCAATCTGACAGATTTGGAGTGTTTTTGCAAGGAAGAGTGGGCAAATATTGTCAAGTCAAGATGTGTCATGCTGATAGAATCATACACACAAAGATTGAGTGCTTGAATCAAATCAAAAGGTGCTTCAACGAAGTATTAGTTTAAGAGTGTGCACACTTATGCAACCATATTATTTTAGTTTTTTATTTTTATTTCCCTCCACCTAAAAGATTTCAGTTTGTTGTTCAACTGAGTTGTACAGTTTATAGTTTATAGGTTACATTAAAGGTGAAAATTATGAAATTATCTTTGTCTCATTTATTTATATCACAGAAACCTGACATTTTAACAGAAGTGTGTAGACTTATGTCCAATGTACCGTATTTTTCGCTCCATAAGATGCACCTGACCATAAGACGCGCCTAGGTTTTAGAGGAGAAAAACAAGAAAAAAAATATTCTGAACCAATGTACTGCAGACACAGTACAGGGGATGACCAGAGACTGCGGACACAGTACAGGGGATGACAAGAGACTGCAGACACAGTACAGGAGATGACCAGAGACTGCGGACACAGTACAGGAGATGACAGAGACTGCGGACACAGTACAGGAGATGACCGGAGACTGCAGACATAGTACAGAAGATGACCAGAGACTGCAGACACAGTACAGGAGATGACCAGAGACTGCAGACATAGTACAGGAGATGACCAGAGACTGCGGACACAGTACAGGAGATGACCAGAGACTGCGGACATAGTACAGGAGATGACCAGAGACTACGGACACAGTACAGGGAATGACCAGAGACTGTGGACATAGTACAGATGACCAGAGACTGCAGACAGTGCAAGGGATGACCAGAGACTGCAGACAGTGCAGGGGATGACCAGAGACTGCAGACAGTAAAGGAGACTACCAGAGACTGCAGACCTTTGGGGAGGGGGAACGGGTACCTGAATTTGACAGGTACCCGCTCCCACTTCCGCGGAGTTGTCCTTCCTTCTTCTTCCCGCAGCGGCTTCTGTGACAGCTGGGTGCCCATTGTGCATGCGCGAGAAGCGCTGCGCTTTGTGAATGGCCCGGAGCCTTCTGGGACCTGGCATGTGTCCCAGAAGACGCCAGACCATTCATAAAGCGCAGCGCTTCTCACGCATGTGCAGTGGGCACCCGGCTGTCACAGAAGCCGCCACGGGAAGACTGCAGCGCTGGAGCGAGGAACAGGTAAGGTCCTGCAGGAGAGAAGAACTGAGCGGCCGGCCCGGTATTCTGACATGGTGGTGGCAGAAATACTGGACCGGCCGCTTTGCATTCGCTCCATAAGACGCACTGACATTTCACCCCCTTTTTATGGAGCGAAAAATACAGTATATTATGTACAGCACTTTTGTTTTCTTAAAAATTAGAAAACCTTACCTGCTAAAAAAAATATCTTTCAGCATCCTAAGTGCAGTATTCTATTATCTGATCAGTTGGTATGGATTAAGCCACATACAAAACATCACTGATCTTTGCAACACTCTGTATCTCACAATATCTGCATCTTCCAATCTCTGGTTATTCTATTCATTATTTATTCTATACTTTATCTCATTTTTTTCGGTCAGTTTTTTACTTTAGAAATAAAAAGCAATCAAACTTATGATGATTTTAACATTAGTCCATTCCTGTAGTAACCAAGATGAAAGAGAAGATGGACATCCCTTCTTCGTCATCCTTCTTGTATGATTAACAGAAAAACATAAAAAGTATTCACCTGAGTTTTGGAAAATGCTCTGCTGGGATCAGTTCTTGTAGGGCGGAATTTCCTGTCAGTTTTAAATGAGTCAAACCATGCAGCCCAGTGACAGGAAATGACATCAGCTGGTTGGATGAGAGATCTCTGGGGAGAAGAAAAAGTAGACACCATGTCACCAACATAATTCAATAGTACAGTGTTTGCAAAGTTAACCCTTAGGCTGGCCATAGATGAATCGAATCTCGGACGGATTTTAGATGTGATTATCACTAGTGGCTTTGATAGCCACTAGCAATAATCACTGTGTTTTCCCAGCGGCTTCCCCCACCCCCCCCCCAGCATCGAAAGAACACAAAAGCCTTGCGGGAGGGATTCCCCTGTCAACACTGTCTATGTTGGTAGGGGAATCCAGCAAATTTCTTTTCCTGCAACTGAAATTCTCTCTGTCTATGGCCTGCCTTAGGTCCATCAGAAGTCCAGATCTTCTCTTAAACACATAGGGGTTTATTTACTAAAGCTGGAGAGAACACAACCAGCCTCACTTCTGCATAAAAAACAGTCAGCTTATAACCTCAGCTTGTTCAATTAAACTCTGGCAATTCAACCTGTAGGCAAACCTGGTTTCTATGTAGACCTGAGCCTGCCTTTGCACTCTCCAGCATTAGTAAATACACCCCATAGTGTGGCTTTAATACGTAAAGGCACATTAATATTATACTTGTGCTACTTCCCTAAAAGCATGGAAAGAAAAACCTGTTAGTCACCAAGAAATAGAGACTTTGCTACAGTAATGCTACGACAAATCCTGCACAATCAGAATAAATTAATTGAAGCATATACGCCTTTTTTATTCTAGGCTTATTTACGTAAAAAATTTCAAAATTGGATCTAGATATTAAAACCACATTTAAGGTGAAACCCCTAGCTGGAACAAAACAAATGTTTTAGTTTTCCATCCTAATTTCTGCTCTTTTAAAAACTATTTAAACAATTTATAGTGACTGTAAAAATGTAAAAGTTACTTTTCAGTAACAAACACCAACTACGTGTTGTTCTGATGTTCTGTTTTATTAGGAGATTGTAGATGAAATATGCACACGTTATAAGCGTGAGAAAAAAATATTGTTGCCAGAAGTCACTGAGCTACAGATGTAATTTCTCTTTCATGGCACCTCAAAGCTCATTTAAAGAAAATGTTTGTAAATTTTGCAATACAAAAATGTTAGTAACATAAAAAAAAGGCTGCCAGTGGGCAGCAAATGTCTGTAACAGTGATGTACTACAAAGTTGTACTGAATGCTACCAGTAAGCAGTCCCTCTTGGCAGGGTTAAAGATATACAGTATAAGTGATTTATCTACTTTCTTTACGCGCAAGCTTTCTGTATGAGCAGAAAAAAAAAGTAAAATCGGGATTTACAGCATAGATGCATCCTATATATTACTCAGCTTCACTGCCAGCGCATAAGGCCTGTTGGGTTTTCCTCTGGTCCCAAGGCACCTAGATATAGTGGAGATACACAGTACTGATGATTTCAAAGATATTGTTTAAAAAAGCAGAACAAAAGTCAGAGAGTTATGCATAGGGGTTTATTTACTAAAACTGGAAAGTGCAAAATCTGGTGCAACTCAGCATAAAAACCAGTCAGATTCCAGGTTTTATTGTCAAAGCCTAATTGAACAAGCTGAAGTTGGAAGCTGATTGACTACCATGTACAGCTGCACCAGATTCGGAGTGCTCCAGTTTTAGTAAATTACCCCAAAGTCTATTTAGCGAGAAAAAAAAAAAACTTTTCTCCTAAAAAAAATTCTCTCTTTAACATACCCTACACTCCACACAACAGTGTACATCCTAGCTAATTCTCAGCATGCCAGGTACTGAGCTGGGTGCTGAGGACATCACAACCCCTGGTACCCTTTGAGCAAAGTGCCATGGAACGCAAAAGAAGCAGAGAGGAAGATGACGGCAGATGCAGCAGTGACTGGACCCTGGGCCTGTCATTGTTGGGAGGATAGCACACAAGGAAGTACAGGTGAAACTCGAAAAAATATTGTGCAAAAGTTAATTTATTTCAGTAATGCAACTTAAAAGGTGAAACTAATATATGAGATAGACTCATTACATGCAAAGCAAGATAGTTCAAGCTGTGCTTTGTCATAATTGTGATGATTATGGCTTACAGCTCATGAAAACCCCAAATACACAATCTCAGAAAATTAGAATATTGTGAAAAGGTGCAATATTCTAGGCTCAAAGAGTCCCACTCTAATCAGCTAATTAAGCCATAACACCTGCAAAGGGTTTCTGTGCCTTTAAATGATCTCTCAGTCTGGTTCAGTAGGAATCACAATCATGGGAAAGACTGCTGACCTGACAGTTGTGCAGAAAACCATCATTGACACCCTCCATAAGGAGGAAAAGCCTCAAGAGGTAATTGCAAAAGAAGTTGGATGTTCCCAAAGTGCTGTATGAAAGCACATTAATAGAAAGTTATGTGGAAGGGAAAAGTGTGGAAGAAAAAGGTGCACAAGCAGCAGGGATGACCACAGCCTGGAGAGGATTGTCAGAAAAAGGACATTCAAAAGTTTTGGGGACTTTCACAAGGAGTGGACTGAGGCTGGAGTTAGTGCATCAAGAGCCACCACACACAGATGGATCCTGGACAAGGGCTTCAAATGTCGTATTCCTCTTGTCAAGCCACTCCTGAACAACAAACAACGGCAGAAGCGTCTTACCTGGGCTAAAGAAAAACAGACCAGGTCTGTTGCTCAGTGGTCCAAAGTCCTCTTTTCTGATGAGAGCAACTTTTGCATCTCATTTGGAAACCAAGGACCCAGAGTATGGAGGAAGAATGGAGAGGCACACACTGCAAGATGCTTGAAGTCCAGTGTGAAGTTTCCACAGTCTGTGTTGATTTGGGGAGCCATGTCATCTGCTGGTGTTAGTCCACTGTGCTTAAGTCCAGGGTCAACGCACACCGTCTACCAGGAGATTTTGGAGCACTTCATGCTTCCTTCCGCAGACGAGCTTTATGGGGATGCTGACTTCATTTTCCAGCAGGACTTGGCACCTGCCCACACTGCCAAAAGCACCAAAACCTGGTTCAGTGACCGTGGGATTACTGTGCTTGATTGGCCAGCAAACTCGCCGGACCTGAACCCCATAGAGAATCTATGGGGTATTGCCAAGAGAAAGATGAGAGACCTGAGACTGAATAATGCAGAAGAGCTGAAGGCCACGATTGAAGCATCCTGGTCTTCCGTAACACCTCAGCAGTGCCACAGGCTGATAGCTTCCATGCCACGCCGCATTGAGGCAGTAATTGCTGCAAAAGGGGCCCAAACCAAGTACTGAGTACATATGCATGCTTATACTTTTCAGAGGTCCGATATTGTTCTATGTACAATTATTGTTTTATTTATTGCATGTAATATTCTAATTTTCTGAGATTGTGGATTTGGGGTTTTCATGAGCTGTAAGCCATAATCATCACAATTATGACAAATCACAGCTTGAACTATCTTGCTTTGCATGTAATGAGTCTATCTCATATATTAGTTTCACCTTTTAAGTTGCATTACTGAAATAAATGAACTTTTGCACGAGATTCAAATTTTTCAAGTTTCACCTGTATGTGTGTCATGCTGTGGATGCTTGCCCATTATAGTAAAAGCCTACATTCATCAAGTGTAACTTAGTTTCAGTATGAATAAAAAAAATCATAGAATAGTGAAACCAAGTGCCTCGTGTAACACAAGTAACCTGACGAATTTTCCTTCATGAAACCCCTCAGGTTCACTGCTCAAAAAATTTTTTTTTTTTATGCTGAACCCTTGACTATATGTTTTATTCAACTAGAAATGTCCAGATGGTGCTAGAGTACCTTATGATGGAATGATTCTTTCTATTCTCATAGATTGCTCCTGCTGCAATTATCCTTTATTGTGTGTGTTTTTCTATTGTTGATGTTTATGATATCGGCTGTAATGACGATCTTGCGGATGTAAGTCTTATTTTCAATAATAAAAATTGATTATGGAAAAAAATTCATAGAAGATCCTGATTCCACTACAATTTTACAAAACTTAGATAAAACTTGTTCTTGTTTATTTTCTCAAGTTAAATAATGTGTGGCATGTGAGCTCCCAAGAAATAAATGGTTGCCTAGCACTTGTCCATAGGTTTCTTTACCCAAACAACTCTTTCTGCTCAGATAATGAATGTGGTTGGCATACCTTGCTTTTGTCTTCGCAACTGACAGCTTTTTGAAACTTGTACCTAAACTGTGCTCTTTTACATCTCTGTATGCCAAACAAAAATGGCATGATTACAGCAGTGAGATTGGGTGAATTTTAAGCATGACTGGAGTCAATTTACTTTGTGAATTATTGCCTATAGAAACTGACTGGGCTGAATGGACTTTCGCATTTTTGCAATCCAGTGCCAAATAGCTAGCCTTGCATGACCCTCTTGAAAAAGTCACTACTTTGGGAAAGATTTTCCTTTATATTTTGCCATTTATTGCAAAGTGGTGTAGTTAAAGACTGGTGAATGTGCACCACTTATCAGAGATGTGCAAAAGCATACAGGGACCTTAAAGTGATAATAAAGCTTCAGTTTTTTTAAAATTAAAATAATAAACCTGTTATACTTACCTGCGCTGTACAGTGGTTTTGCACCGAGCAGCTCTGATCCTCCTCTTATTGGGTCCCTTGCTGGCGATCCTAGCTCCTCCACCTGTCCAGTGCCCCCATAGAAAGATCCTTCTCCTGCAGTGAGGAGGGACAGAGCCGGAGAGCCACAGCTCTCATGTATAGCGCTGGATAGTGATGGGGCTCAGGTATGTATAAGGGGGGAGCGAGAGGGATCTGTGACATATAAGGCTGTTTACTTTAATGCATAGAATGCGTTAAAGTAAAAAACCTTGAGGCTTTAGAAGCACTTGAACAGGCTGCACTCCTTTTGAAGTGTAAGTACTGTATTTAGGTTATTGACTTAAAAGAGTTAACATTCCAAGAAAAAGGAAAACGTGACTCTTCTACTTTTGCTACATTCACCTGTCAGTCAGTACTTTAATGTTTACAGTCCAGTTAAATAAGGGAAATACATGCACTAACCCTACAGCAGGCAGTCAAAACTAATTGACAGAGAACCAAAAGCCAATCAAAACCAACTACAGTGAACTGACAGCCTATTGCTCCCTATGGGTTACTGCTGTTTGCATAATACCAGTGTTCTTTAAACTGACTTCTAGGATATGGGGTGGCATACTGAAGACAAATACTACAGGAGAATACCTTCCAAATTACATAATGTTCCCGCCATGGTTATTCCTGCTTTCCTCCTATTAAAAGAGAAAAATGACACTTCCTATCATTAATCCCTTTGAACTGCAGTACCTATAGCTGTTATACCCCGGTCACATCGGGTGCCACTTGGCATGCCAAGTCGCACCCTATTGTCCGCAATTACAGCAGTCATATCGGTGCGGTTCTGACCAAGTCGGAATCGCACTGATTTCTACAGTAATACAAGTACTACTTTTGGTGCGATTTGCATAGACATCTGTGCCAGATGTCTTACAAATCGCACCTGAAATCAGCATATCCCCCGACTTTGATTTCAAAGTCAGGCTTGATGTGATTGGGGTGTTAGAGTGCATAAGCCTTCTGACAGGAAGCCATTAAGTGATCTTGAGCTGTAGCGGCTGCTTGTTATGTGGACACAAGTATGTGAACTCTGGAACATGTTTTACTTTGCTACTACAAAAGTGCTGTATAATCATACAGTACGGACACTCGCTATATTAATGATAGAATCATAGACTGTGCAATTATAAAACAAGCACAAGAACATGACAAGCCTGAATGCCAATATCCACACTTGATTTCAGAGGTGTTCACACAACCAGCACCAACTGCAGTCACTTAATAGATTCCTGTCAGAGGGTTTGATTGCCTCAAAAGCCACTGGTACCAGCATAGGCCGGTCCAATTTATCCCGTGTTATAGAAGGAGAAGACAGTTAGAAGGTAAGGGTTCATAAGATTAACTTGGACCAAGTTCTAAAACTGTATTTCCTATTATTTCCTATGGTAGTCATACGCTAGCTCTAAGTGAGCTGCAGTGACAAAAATATTGGCAGCACAAACAATCCGCAGTATAAGTCTGTGTTCACATATGTGCGAGGCCTGTTTGCAGTGTGATTTGTAAAAGAGTCAGGTGCGCTTTCATTCAGCAGTTCAGATGCGATTCCAATGCAAATTGTTAAAGTGTATGACATTGGAAATCACATCCGAACTAGGCTAAACAACGTACCTGACTCTTGTTTTAAATCACACAGTGGCAAGCCCCCACATATGAAAAAAAGTTTGGTTCACATGTCATGTAAATCGGATGTGGTTCAAAACGCATCCAAAACACATATATGTGTACAGGGTCTTTGTGTCCTTTTCAAACTATTGTTATCAAGGATAGAAAAAATACTTTACTATTACAGATGAAAATGCAACATGACAGAACATCTACATGCTTTTAAATTTACTTACAATCTGATGAGAGATGGCAATGAGGAAAATGATGTTGGGTGAATGTATGTTATTCTATTCCATGCCAAATCCCTGGTTGCAAAAAAAAAAAACATGATTAAACATGTGAAATATATTAGGATCAATAATTGTTTTGCTTAGTGTTTATAGCTAATATTGACATTTAGGATGAATTTTCCAAACACTTTACTGAAATGTTACATTAATATCTTCCACAAATCATTGGCAGATTGTGATTTGATACTGCATCAGATAATTAAACAACTACCGTAACAAAAGGGATTATCCATCTTCAACCTCACAACTTTCGATACTTAAACAGTAATCCAAAGTTTCAAATAATGTACAAAGTGACAATATAATACAATATGCTATGTGTGCTTGTAACAGATACAGTACCTGACACAATCTGTCCCTTTAAATCCAATCATTCTGTTCATTACATTAACAGTTTATTCCAAATTCAGTGAAGTGAATGCGTTGTGTTATTGTGAATATGTGTAGGACGAGGGAGAATTACTTCTGATGTTTTTAGAAATGTTCCTTTACCATTTTATGTATGTGTGTGATATTTTGTGGCATCTCTGCCAAGCTAAAGTAGATTAGTAAATGAATCCAAACAGACTAGGTGCAAGATGCCTTGTTTTCTTTTCCCCTTTTTATACAGTGCAAGCGACACCAATCTATTAGGTCTCTTGAACATCATAGACAGGGATTTCACTGTAAGGTGCTTTGTGTTTACTTCTTAATTATAGTTCTTTAAACAGCAGAGTAAAATAGGATCAAACAAGCAGGGGATTTGCAGAACACTCACAGAGATCGCAAGACAATCAGCTGCTGAAAGGTGCTGGGTCTGATTTCATTGATTTCATTATGACGGAGATCTCTGAAATGACAGAAAAATGATAAGTGGATTGTAGAAGCATGACATTCCATAACAAACCTTTCTCTACCATCAGATCACCTTTAACCCAAACACTGTAGTGTTAATGGGGTTAAAGATGTTATGTTTGAATTGATATGGTGTAGA